TCCCTCGGTCACTACCTGGGTCGACGGTGGCACCCTCAACCCAGCTGTGACACGGTACAGTGTATTCAGACATCACTGGTGGCCCCCATGTAGCAGAACACCCCCAAGAATAAGCTTTGATGGGCTCCAGGGGTAGAACTCACTCAAACAAAGCTCTTGGGGGCCCTCGCTCATTTGCAAGAGCATGAAGGGTCAAGTTCAAGGGCAGAGGCAGATTCCCATGTTCCTTACGTGGAAGCCATACCACCCTCAGGCTGCCGCACAGCCGGAAACCTCACGTCTACTGATGCAGCACAGCCGGCTCCCATGCATGTCAGGCCTGCTGCTGGACATCCTTATTCATACATCTCTCCTTCCAGTGACCAAGGGTGGTATGTCCAGCCCTTGCCACCACCCATACTTAAAGGAAAAAGTCACAACCTCAAAAAGGAAAAAGAAAAAAGTCTAACAACATCCAGTCCACCGATAAGACACCATCCTGTGGGCATAGGTCCCATTGTTCATCTGCACCCATGCTTTCTGTCCTTTGGAACTGCTTGTCCCCGCCTCTGGTTCATTTTAAGTGGACTGCTGTGTCTACAGACGCTGCAAGAGTTCTCCGCATTGCTGAATACTGTGCTCCATGGGGTTGTATAGGGAACAGCATCACCCCACTTTGTGACTTGCTGAGTCTTTTTTTTTTCCTTTGGTTTGATTTTTTTTTTTTTTTTTTTTTTTGATACTAACAATAGAACTCACAACCTCATGTTTGCCAGGCAGGCACTGTGCTGCTGAGCTATATCCACAGCCCCTGTCTTCGGTTTGAGACTGGGTCTCACTATGCAGTTCAGGCTGACCTTGAATTCACTATATAGCCCAGCCTGGCCTCAAACTCACAACAATCCTCCTGCTTTAGCCTCCAGAAAGATGGAATTACAGGCATGTGCCACCAAACCTGGCTTATTATGCTGTTTTTAATCACTTTAGTTTTGTAACATACCTTGAAATCCAGGATGGTGATGCCTCCTGCTTTTTGCTCTTGGTGCCCAGGATTGCTTTTGCTATTTTGAGTCTCTTCTGGTTCCACATAAATTTTAGAATTTTTTTTCTAGTTCTGTAAAGAATACTACTGTATTCTGATTGACACTGCATTAAGTCTACATAGCAGTTTTGGTAATAAGGCCATTCCACAATATTGGTTCTGCCTATGTGGGAATAGGAGATACCTTTCCATTTACTAGTCAGATATGTATTTTTACAGGCAAATATAAGCAGCTTTCAATTATTGGTTGTAATGAAGGTTATAGATATTAAAATTCCTAAATAACTCATAAATTCCATAGGCTACACAAAGAAGGGAAGTTAAAAATTAAAAATCCAAGGACTCAGGATGCAGCTCAGGTGTAGTCTACTTGCCTCATGTGCTGGAGGCCAGGGTTTAATCCCCAGCCCTGCAAAACATTAATTAAAATTAAAAATCAAAGAATTGATTTGGAGAAGAGTTACAAAATTTTAGATGCTCAGTAATGCCATGTTTATACTAGGTATTTCTGGAGTAAGGATGCAAATTTTTGCAGCCTTGAGCAAGATTAAAAATATAGCTTCCTTTAAGCAAAGCAGTTCCATCACAAATGATATCTGCAGGATTCTGAAAAAATCAACTGTTTAGTTTTTTTTCATTATCATCCTTTAAGACTAAGAACTGGCAAACTATAGGCAGTGAATTAGATATTTTCATAAAGTTTTTATTGGAAAACAGCTATGCTCACTTATTTACCTATAATCTACAGCTGTTTTTATAGAACTGAATAGGAGTAGTAGACTGCAGGAGACACAAAGTCTAAAATATTTATTATCAGGCTTGGATAGAAAAGTTTGCTAATCCCTGCCATACTTCAGACAGCTTAAGTGACTCGTAAATAGGTAAATAAGAGTATACAATATTAAATCAAAATATTAACCAATAAAATCATGTGCATTAAAAGAAAAAAAAAAAAACTCGATTATTTATTTGGGTTTCTTTTTCCCAAAATGGAAAAATCTACTCTCTATATTGTCTCTCAATATTCCTCAAAGCTACTGTATGAAAAAGTAAAAGCATACACCAAAGTAAATGGAGAAAAAATATTTAAGGGACCTTTACAAGGAACTGGCTTAACAGAAAAACTCGGTCTTCATATTGTCAAAGCAGTGTACTCTGGCTGACTGGCTGCACCAGAATTATAGGGACATATGCCTAAGATAACTTTAATATTCTGATTCAGACATAGCATCTGGAAATAAAAAGCTTTCCAGACAATAATGTGATTGTGTTAAAACAAAATTCTCATCTTTTAAGGTCTACCCTAAAATGTTACAGATAATATCTGTTATAATATCTGGAATTTTTTTCAAAAGATTGGTTGGGGGACAATGGGCTGAGGAACAGATGACATGTATTCATTCATGATTTGATCACTGGTTCAACTGGGTGACAGGTATACAGAGTTCACTATATTGTTCTCCCTTCTTTGTAAATGTTTCACATTTTCTATAAAGTATTAAAACAAATCTTGAGTGATTCCAATGCACAAACAATATTGAGAGCCACTGAATTAGTGTATTGAAAAAAGGCTAGCACTCAAAACAACTACCACCGTTTCCATCAATTACTTTTAAGACAGGATTTTCAGTTTAGAATTTGAAAGCTATGAACTATTAATACGCCTAGCCTTGGAGCAATGCCTTCCACTTACGACATGACATTTCTCTGGTAGGAATGAACACAGCTGACTAACAGAAAGCTTGTTTACTCCAAGTTAAAGTCAGCAAAAGCACCAGGAAAAGAGGCAAAAGGACAGTTAAAATTATAGTTTGAAGATGTTTAGAGGAGGGAAGAAGGTAGATTAAGAACTATAAAATTTAAGATTTGTATGACACCTTAGGAATTATTTGAACCAATTTCCTTATTTTACTAATGGTAAGACAGAGATGAAGAAAAAAGGAATGATCCATCCTGTGGGCATAGGTCCCATTGTTCATCATCTTTTAAGGTCTACCTTAAAAGATTGGGGTCTATATGTCCCTATAGACCCCAATTCCCATAGAATAACCTTACTCCTTTCAGGACACCAATCACTGCTGTCACATTTGGATAAGTACACTGTACCTAAATCCTGAGTCATCAATGTAGGAAAAGGGTAAAAAACACAATGAAGCCTATCATCCTGAGAAAGCCTTGAAGTAAATTCAGGTGGCTGTGTAATCAGCCCAAAAGATGAAGAAGTCTTCAAGGGGGAGAGGAACGAAAGCAGTGGAGAAGAAACCCCTAGAAATGTCCTTTCAACCACTGTCACTACTCCCTCTGTGATGACACTCTCACTTAGGATCCAAGAAAATAAACCATAAAATCCAAATTTCATGGGCTACCAATGTGGTAAATTGAACTCCATTTATCCTCTGAAGCCCCAGTTCAGTGGAAAATGATGAAATATGAAAATTCAAATATCTCCACCTCCTCAATTCCTCCATTTTCCTATTCCACTTACGACAGATTACTTGAAGGAATTAAATGTATTTAATGTTGACAGTTCTAAAAATGATTACAAATGCTACAAAGATAATCACACTGCTGTCAGCTCCACCTGTCTTTTATGGGGGTAACAAAAATTTCCTCTTCCTGAAAGGTGTTAGAATTGAAACTAAAGCCTTCAAAAGACAGCTATGGGTTGTCATTTTTAGCCCCAGGCAACATTTTGAAGTCCTAATGAGGAGAGGAGAAATCTGGAATCACTACTTAGGAGCAGCTGGGAGTGAAAGTGGCACAGCCTCAACCACCACAACTACAAAGTATGGGATGAAAATTGAGCAGTCACCAAATAATGCCTTTTATTGATCCCCAAGACTAAGGAAAAGTATTCAAATAAGCAAGTGGTGGCTGCTCACAGCCACGCCAAAGGGAAAGAGGATCGAAAGTGCAGAGCTCCTAGAAGAGCAGAAATGATACAAATACATAGAACTTTTCAGGAAAAAGAAATTCATTTTGAGGTAGGATTTAAAAAAAGGAAGGTAAAAAGGTGACAAAGAAAGTCATTTTTAAATTGTACTTTTAATAAAAACTGCAGGTTGAGAGCACAAATCCAGTCTAAAAAAAAAAAAAACCACTTAAAGTTCTTAAAGACACAAAAGCACGGGCCATTCCTTTTACTTGCAAAAGGGCTTTGGCCATTCCTTTTTACTTGCAAATGGACCTCTGCCATTATTTTTTTACTTACAAAATGATTTCTTTCCCCATCACTGAAGATGCTGTCACCTGCGAATGGGCCATCAACCCCTCCACAAAAGACCATTGCCTTTCATGGGCTCTTTCTATACATTTACAGGTTCCTCGGTTTCCACCTCAAAGTCCCTATAAATATACCTAGCCCCAGACTGATGCACCGCTCTCTTGAAGGCCCGCACTCTATTTCTCTGAGGCTGTACTTTTAAAATTCTAACAAATCCCCTCATGCCTCTTAGGAGTCCTAAAAATTCTTCTCCCGCCACAGGAGTTAGCGAAAGGACCCTACAGGTAGGATACATTTTGGTTCCTCATCTCTGCTTTTGGAACCTTTAAGGAGAGGTCCGGGGACCATTTCAGCCGCCTCAAGGAAAATGTGAGACACTGACCGAGGGTCGGCAGCTCAGACAATCTATCCTTGGAAGTTTTCCACCAGGGGTTACAACCTACACATTCAGCGACCCTCAAGAACAGGACCCCGTGCGTGACAGGACAACCAAAGATGTAGCAGGGGAGTATTTATCGTCCCTGCCCTACTAAGAATGTGGCTCAGAGATTGGTCAGAATTCCAGGAAAACAAGAATTTTTCCTCTGTCGTATTTTGAGGCAGCACCGCATGAATAATTTATCACCCAACACATTCGTCCCTGGAAAATACTAACCCAGTTCAGCATAATGAGAAAGATCCCGGGAAGGGAGGCGGAGCAGGACGCCAGGCGCCGCAGCACCGCCACCGTGCCCTGGGGTGCCCCGAGATGCCTACCTTGGAGTCCGGCAGGCTGAAGACGCTGGGGTCGTCGGTGCTCCCCACCATGATCTTGTGCTCCTTGCCCGGGGCATGGCCGCCGGCCCCCTCGGAGCGCGCAGCCTTGGCGCCGTGGCGCTCCCCGGACACCCGGTCGCTGGTGGTGTTTCCCATGTCTGCAGCGGAGTCGGGGGCCACCTGCCGCGGGAAACACCCCAGCAGCCGCGTCAGGGACGCCCGCCCGCCCCGCCCCGCCCCTGCGCCTGGGGACGCGGAGGGAATCCCGCCCAGGAAGCCGGGCCCCAGGGTCCCCTCGCCCGGGGCCTGCGGGGCAGCCACAAGCCCCCAGGCCTCCCGCCTCCCCCTCAGGAACCGCGCGCTCCGGAGCCCCGCGCCCCCGCCCGCGCCCTGCTCACCGGAGACGCTGCGCTCCCCCTCCCTGAGCCGCGGGCACGAAGGGTGAGCGCAGACAAGGCCACCAATAAAGTTATTGAAATTGAAGGCGCGCCTGCAGCCAGGACCCGGGTTTCCTCCTAAATTGGACATAAGGCCCGCGACGCGGGGCCCGCCCTTGAGCGCTGCTGGGCCCGCCCGCCGCTCTAGCCGCCACCTCGGTGGTGGGCGCGCGCAGCCTCGACTTAGAGCGAGCGCGCGTCTGGCACCGCCCCGCGGCGGGGCGCGGGCTCCGCAGGGCCGGAAGGTGCGGAGGCTCCGGGAACCTGACGCGGCCTCAGGGGCCCACCTACGTTGTGTGGACAGCGCCGTTAGGAGCGGCAGCCCCTGGGGTGGTTCCTACCGGGAATGCGAACACAGACTTGCAACTCCAGGGAAGGGAAGAAGCAGTCAGTGCTGGAGGTTAAAGCTCTGGGCTGTGGGGAGCCCAAGGGGAGGAGCATTCCCCTCAATGGCGTTCCAGGAGAAAATTCAAAATGGAGTGAATTGGAGAGGAACCCTGCTAGACAAATTAGTGAAACGTCATTCCCAAGAGAAGAACGTTGTTCTAGACTACAAATTCGCTTATGCAGTGACTGACACCAAAAGCAAATTCAAAGAAACTATGCAACAACAAAAACACCAAAAGGTATAAAAGGCAAAGATAATTCTGGGTTTGGAGGAATGAGGGATTTTATGATAATTAGTGGAACTTCTCAGATATTTACAAATTCTTACTTTTCATTAGAATTAAGTGCATGTTCCACTTCCTACTTGAAAACTTCGTTGCTCAACGGGTTATACACAGACCAGCTCATTCATACCTGGAGATTTGTTAGAAATGCAGAATCTGAGGGTCCTTCCCCCGTGTAGAGAAGCATAATCTGCATTTTAACTAGATCACGTGAAAGTGTGAAAAGTATGATAAAGAACAGGTCCAAACTTAATTCCCTTTCACATTCTGCTCACAATTTGCACAAAGAAAGCTTTTAATAAACATTGACAGAATGAAAGGCACCTAAATACTGTTTACTATATTTTTTACAAGGTATGCCAGTTAGGCATAATGATGGGAACAAGCTACCCTTTCGAAGTGTGCAGCTCTATCTGTTGAGAAGTTCATTTTTGTACTATGGAGTTGAAACTCCACTTAAGTTTAACATCCATCACTCACTAATTAAAACTCTTCTCTGACTCTTAACCAAAGACAGTTTACAGGAAAAGGGTGATATTTTACAGCAACCTTTTGCTCACCCCTTAAAATTCCAGACTGCTTGGGTACCTCCCTTTTGGTTATCCTTACCTTTTCCCTTCCCCTACTCCTTTTTCTTTCTTCTTTCCCAATGGGCTCTGAAGCAGTTCCTACTGCTTCTATTTTCAGAATTGAGAAAGAGAGAGAGAGAACAGAAGCAAGGTGATTAGCTGACTGTGAGGGAACAAAGTATTTGAGGTTTGACCAGACAGGAGGTTTAAAAAACAAGCAAAGGAGTGGGACAGAGAATTGGCTAGAAAAATGAAGCCTGACTAGCAATAGCACAGAAAGCCTTCTTGTATTTGGTGGTTATGAATTTAAGACCAACTAAATCGTAGTGTTAGGTTTCGCTAACCATACTTACTCATTCTGGTGCAGGCACATACCAAAGGTGAAATTTAGCCAGCGAAGTGTGGAAGAGGTTGACAGAGGAGTTGAGACTGTGCATAGGGTTGGATTACCATGTTAGTCTATAGGTTTTAAACAGTTGGGCTGGGCACTGAAGGCAGAACAGACTGCTAGTGCGACCTATGGAGTCAAGGAACTGTTAGTATTGGAGGGCCAGAGTAAATGAGTTGGTAAGGTAAAAGATGGTTTTGGAGACTGCTATAGAGAGAAGTATAGAACTTGTTGCTAAAGATCTTCACTTTCCATTTGTGTGGCACATGCCTGTAATCCCAACATTTGGCATGCTGAGGCAGGAGGATTGACATGAGCTCAAGGCCAGCATGGGCTACATAGGGCATCCAAGGCCAGCCTAAAATACATAGTGAGACACTGTCTCAAACAAGTAAATAAATAAATAGAATCTTCATTAAAAAGGGAGTACGCAGGATTAATAATAAATAAATGCAATAGTCACTAAATAAAAGAGTAAACAGGTTTGTAAATAACTACAAGCTGGGGAGTTTTGAGAAAGTAAACAGAAATTGTTGAGGGTCTAGGAGCATAATGATCAGGGAAGACATACACACTGATTTTTTGTGTTAAGACCCTGACTTTCTAAATCCTATTTTTGATTGAAGAAATAGTTTACACTTGTGTTTCAAACTGTAAATGAACATTAGTGATATATTGAATGAGATCAGAGATCAGTGGTCAAGTCCACAATATTTTTTGGAGAACATGTTTGCAGACATTTCAAAATGTTAAACACTCCTTAATCTCCTTAGTCATTTTTTATGAAAGTATTCACTATTTGATTTAATCCTTTAAAAACTCATCATGCTGGGCATGGTGATGCATGCCTATAATCCCAGCACTAGGGAGAATGAGTCAGGAGGATTGCAGTGAGTTTGAAGCCAGCCTGGGCTACATAGTGAGTTCAAGCCCAGCCTGACTACACATCGAAACCCTGTCTAAATAAACAAATAAATCATGTTTTTACTTTCCACACAAATGTATTTATTCAATTAATCATTGATTTCCTGGGGTCTTACTGTGTTCTAGGTACTACATGAGGCACGAAGACCCTATCTGCCTCCAAGGAGTTTATTCAAAGGGGAAACATGTAAGAGGCCCTGTTGTTAGTACACAGTGTAATAAGGTTATTCATCACATATAATTGAGGAATACTGTAAGTGTAATGAGAACACAAACAAAGGTCACTTAGCTCATATTGGAGATCAGGAAGCTATTCCTGGAAGAAGTAACAGTTGAACTAATCTTGAAGATGATGTAAGCATTAGTCAGTGAGCAGGTGGAGAATTTACCAAGAGTACATCATAAGACTAAAATGGTGAAAAGTGGCACTTTGGGAAATTCCACGTAGGCAGTCTGAAGGGTGTTTATATACTGTATTGGTATTAGCCAAAGTAACAAGATACAAAGAGTATTAAATACAGTAATATTACCATATTTATGTATGTACTTTCCCTTAACATCCATAAATCTTGCTAATAGGGGTTATTCAATGTATTGAGCTATAAGAAAGAACTTTTCTAAGTGCTTATAAGAAATTGTCTTTTCACCTTGTATCACCATTCCAGCCCCACAACCCCTGCTACCACCTCTCCAGGTATAGTCTATACTTATGTAGCAAAAGAAACAACATTGCTATATTAAGTTATATTATGCTCTATTAGATCAATTTAGTTTGAGAGTAATCAGGGAAACGTGGTAATTAAAATGAATGGTACTAAACAATATTATTCTTCCTCTGACAAAATTCCATGAGACTGTAGTTCTGGTTTGATTTCTGAACCAAAAGAAAAAATTATTAAAAAATAATTTTTGGGCCAGAGATATGCAAATTTGAGCCCACCCTAGGCAACTAGCAATTTAGCAAAATCCTATTTCAATTAATTAATTAATTAATTAATAGGCTTATGGATGTAGCTCTGTGTGAAAGCACTGGGTTCAAACCTGGCTACCACAAGATAAAAAGCTGCAAAAAATAGTACCAAGTTCCTATATACCCTGTACCCAATTTCTCTTTTGTTAACACTTTAATGTTGTACATTTGTCACAACTAATAAAACAATAAACATTCCTCTAACTTTTGCTTAATGTTCTTTTTCTGTCTAATATATTACATTTAGATGACATGTCTTCTGAGGCTCTTACATATCTTGACAATTTGTATGACTTGTTTTTCGTGACCTTAATAGTTTTGAGGTAGTCAGTTATTTTGTAAACTACTCCTCACATTGAGACTGTCTGGTTCTTTTCTCATGGTTAGACTGGCTTGTGGTTTTGGAGAGGAATATAACCAAGGTAAAGTGACCTGATTATATTATGTCAAGGGTACATACTATTAACATGACATCACTATTGAGGTTAATCTTGTTTGCCTTTTTTTTTAGTGGTACCAGGAATCAAACTCAGGGCCTCGTGCTTGCTAGGCCGGCACTGTGCTGCTGAGCTATATCCCCAGCCGTGGTGTTATTTTTAATCACCTAGATGAGGTACTCTTTGTCAGATTTCTCTGCTGCAGAGTTGTTTTTCCTGCTTCCCGTACTGTAATTTTTAGAAGGAAGTTAATCTGCAGCTCACTTAAGAAATAGTTAATGTTCCATTTCCTGGAAGGGAGAATATCTACATAAATTATTTGGAGTTCCACATGGGAGTTTTGTCTGTCCAGCTCATTTATTAATTTATTCAGTCATTTATGTCAATATGGATTCAGGTGTTTTATGTTTTATGTTATAGTCCAATATGAGTTTATTTAATTGCTCAAATTTTTCCAGTTTAGCCATTGGGATCACTTTATCGTGGCTCCTGTGTCCCTTTGATACATGCTATCTTGAAGTGTTTTGAATGAATGCAATGATAACCTACTCATATCTTACCTTCAGCTCAGTTTAGAAATCAACCAATGAGATTTTTTGTAACTTTACACATAAGTAGAATGTGAGAGTCAAGTCAATTTAAACTTACCCACTTTAAAGAGGAAACTGGGCTATTATTGTGAAAAATTAGGAATTACAGCATATTATTAGAGGACTATTACTTGAACACATTTCTACCCTACCAGAGAGGCAAATTTATAACATAAAAGAAAAAAAATTTTAAGAGAAGCAAGAGACCTTCAATTTACTTTTGAATGAGAGTAATCTATAGATTTAAAAAAAAATACTAGATCCATTTTAATAGATGACTAACCCTCAGTATCACAAAGAGTAGGGAAGGAAGAACCTAAGAAGTAATACCAATCCTCAATTCTCTACTTCTCTGTTATGGTTTGTGTCTAGATGTTCCCCTCTAAAGCCTCATGCAGTCATAGGGTTTTTCAGAGATGGCTAAATCTGGGGTGTGTGATGGATTCGTAGTGCAATGCTGGGGTTAAAGGTGCTGCGATTAAGGATGGGTGATTATTAGACCAGTCCACTGATTGGATTGGCACTGCCCTAATCCCAGTAGACCAGATACAACGTAAGGGACAGAAAGAGGCTTGTCCCATTTTGTTGCTTTGCTGCCTTCTGCCACCATGAACTGTTGCCCTTCTGCCAAGCCACACTGCCTTGGAACCAGCTGTTCAGTCCATAATCTGCTGGTTTATGGACTAAAACATCTACAAACTGTGAGCTGAATAAATCTTTCCCCCGCTTTAACTTTGGGTGTCAGGTATTTTGTCCCAGTAATGAGAGAAAGACATTCTCAAAAAGTAAATTGGGTGAAATGGTGGCAGTTGTCCAAATATTTATATGATTGGGAAGAACATTTAGTTCTCATATTTGTAGTTCTCTTAGATATTTCTAATAGTCTAATATTCTTTCAGTTGTTCAAATTTATTTTGGTGGTTAAGTAATTGGCAACAATACAAAAACTTACAAACATATTACTCAACAGCTGTCTATGAACATACACCTGACTGATACTTCCAGTACCTTACTTGATGCGGCTCAGTGTGCCTGGTTCACATCTCCATGAAACAAGAACAGAGCAAAACTTCACAGATGAGAAAACAGAATCAGGCAGCAGCACTGGGATGAAAACCAAGTTCCTGCTTTTTATTTCATTTGCTCTGTTTTTCAGAACTACACTGTATAAGCAGAATATTCATATATTTAGTTAATAGCAACCCTAATTTAAGACATAAATGACTTCTTTGAATTTTTTCTTACTTAGGCTGTATTTATGGGAAAAGGAGAAAGAGTTGGAGAGACAAGTCACATTTTTAGCTCATACCACCAACAGTTAGCAGCTACATACCTGGTAAACTAATGTCTTACTGGATCCTAATGTGGACACTCAGATTAAAAAAGATAGGATAGCTAATTTAAAATTTTCATATATCTCAGCCAAGTAGAATTTACTGGTAGTGCTAAATTATTCAAATGATATCAGTCAGAAGTGGAAAGTACTTTCTTTATTAAGAAAATAAAGACATGTTCCTTAAGGAAAAGGAATAAAAGAAACAAACTGGCCAATTACCAGGTACATTAATGAATAGGAAGTAAAACAAAATGTCTTGGGTATCTATATGTCTTATCTATGTAACCAACATAACCATTGTAAAACCAGTACTGTACTTCTCATAGATTTCAGAAAATGTATATTTAGTTACAGTATTAGAAACAAACAAAATTGAGCTTCTGATAGAAAACCAAGCCTATCAGAACAAGAGTTACATAGTAATTTCTTATAGATGCTAATTTAGGGTCACCATCATAATATTTGATAACAAGATGAAAAAGTGATTAAGAGAGGAATGGAAATGAGTCCATTCAAATAAACCTGGAATTTCACTGTAGGAAAAAGATTGATTCTTTTGAAAGATAAAGACTTTGGGGCAATATGAAGGTGAGAGTTATTGAATTTTGTCAGGTTCTAAAGCCATCTCTAGATCAAGCTTCCCAGTGAAATTCAGGACATTGACAATGGGACAACTAAAGATAAGCCATAATTATAGCAAAGAAAACAACAGCTAGCATAAACCGACCAATTGTCACTGTTGAAGCCATGGAATTGCTCTTTTCGGTTACTCTTGTCTTCAGAGGCTTCCTAATCCGATCTTCAGTGGTTAAGATAGTTTTCCGAGCCCCATCCCACTTTCCAGGGCCCTGTAGACGATACTGGACTGGAGTACAAGGTCCAAAGAATAACTTTAAGGCCAGCTTGGGATCAGTGAGGGCCAGAGACAGTAGATTGGGCCTGGCTCCCACCAAATCAGCAAGCTCTTCCATTGTTGCCACATAGTCTCCCTGAATAGTATGGCGTGGGCTGTCCACATACCTGAAGTAAAGAAAACAGAAGCTATGACTTATCAACAATTCAATCAACCAGTCATCCATCAATCAGTGCTTTCTGAGTGCCTGCTGTTGGCTTGATATTGGGCTAGGCGTTGTGGAAAGTGGTAAAGAAAGATAAGACATTGTCACCATCTTTAGATTTTCTGATTGGGGAGACAAGACTGATACACATAAAGCAAAGAAGGCTTTTGTGGTTTTTGACTGCTAAATAGAAATGCAGAGAGAAAATAGTTAAAAGAGGGATATCGGTGCTTGCTTTGGCAGCACATATACTAAAAGAGAGATATCATATTAGGTCCTTGAAGGATATGAAAGTTACAGATGAGATGAGCCACAGAGAGAAAGAATAATGTGGGAGTGGCACCTAATATATGCATGGAATGTTTGTGGGCATGGTCTATAGTAGTGGAAAATAAGAATGTAAGTAGAGGCAGGCATAGCCCATGCAGATTCAGATCACTCTGATTTTTGGAAAAGAAAACTCACCACAGAAATTCTCAAGCATAGGATTTATTATTATATGAGGGCAATGATGGTGGGTTCTACATGGCAGTATTACAGGCAGCTAAATTAGAAATTAATATTCAGTCAGAGGGATTGGGCTCTCAAGGAAGTCAGTAAATACTAAAGATATCAAAATTGTGGCTGGAGATGTATCTAAAGAAGGCCAGGCCTCAAGATAAAGATGCAATGGGCAGGGCTTCATGCCTCCTAAGGGAGAAACAATAAACTGAGGTTATACTGTAATTAGCACTACCTGGTGCAGTAAGTCCAGCTAGGCACCAGTTACCCAAGTGGGTGACCAGAGTATCTGGACCTATCCCTTCCCTAAAGTGCCTTTGTTCTTTGTATATACCTTTGCTACGTGCTTCATTTCCCTATTGGATCAGTATTAACTAAGCACGTATATTCATAACCACTTAACAGTTTACCCCCAATGTCACTCACATAATGCATTTGTTTATGTACTGACTATCCCAAGTGTTACTCAAGCAGGAGTCATTTCAACCGGTCAGTTCTTGTTTGCATGAGATACACTCATACATCTGTTTATTTGTTTTATATTGATGATTCTTTCATTTTTTAAATTTAGAATATTGTATTTGCCTTTGATGTTTGTTTCTAGTGAAATCTAGTAAGTTCTGGGTATTTTCTTTTACTAACTTATGTTTATTTTATTTGTAAAAACTAACCTATAATTTTGTGCTATACTCTATAAAAACTTTTATTGTAAGTATATTAAATGTAATTGCTGTACTACTCCAGAAGTCAGTGATATTCTTTTATAATATAAAACAGATGCATTTAAGATACTGAGAATGAATAGGAAGGAAGTGCCAAATGTCTGCAAAAGAAAAACTGAAAAGGGGAGAGAGGAAAGCATAGTAGAGAGGAAAAAGTCTATGTTATGAAGTGGAAAGACAAAAAGGACATCTCCTTATTGTCAACTATACATAATTCAGAAATGACAGAGCTTGAAAGAAGAAATGAAACTCAAAAAAAATCCAGTAGTGGTCAATGATTATAATAATTCTATGGGTGGTGTTGACAAAGTTGACCAACATCTAGTAAGCTATCCTATAATCAAAAAACAAAGAAAAATATTATTATAAAATATTTATGCACTTTCTGGACCAAATAATATGGAACTCATGTGTTATTTATTCAAAACAGGGGGTTCAAAAAGTCATTTACAATTTAGATTAGGTATAATAGACCAAATAATTAAAATATACGAGATAGCAAAATGCTAACCAGGATGTCCCTCATTGATGTCTTCACCATTACATTTAGTGGGTAGACATTTTATTGAAATTATATCACCCACAAACAAAAAGGAAAGGCAACATGACAGGGTAAGTGTGCTGTGCAAACAAAGACAATAATGCAAAAAGAATTCAGAAAGAGACTGGATACTACTATCCAGATTGTAACACTGCATTGTGTATTGAATATTTTAAAAAATAAAAAAAATTGTTGAATAAATTTGATAAAACTGCCATTTTTATATTTCTTATTATAAAAATTAATGAGAAAACATGCAATCATTGGTCATTTTGTATTTAAATAATTGGACTGGTAAGTGGATAATCCTATAGGTTGATTATAGTTTGGCCCACATTATACTCACATTGTGACTTAGTGAGACAAGTGGCCCCTTACAAAGGGTCTTGGTGGCAGCCCACTTTGGGGACTCCTTTTATCTCTCAGTAAACCTTTCCCTGCTCTTAACCTTCATTGTCTCTTAAAATTCATTCTTCAGTATTCAAGGGACAAAAACTCAGCACATCTGAGATCTAGCAGGTTGGGAGTTACATTTCTTCTATATCAGCAGGGCTTCCCAGGGCCACTGTTAATTTGGAATCCTCAAAGGATAAGGGAGGGTGGCTTATCAACAAGAAGTGGCCCTCCAGATGCACTGATTATACCAAGTACAGACTTGAAGAGCTAAAAAGCCTTCTAGAGGAAAAATGAGATTAACAGTGAAATATGTGAAAGAAGTCAGATTTGCAGAGATAATGAGAGGCTTTCACTTTTTACTTTCTACCTTGAAAATAAAAGAACAGTGGCACAGAAAGGAAGTTAAGAAAAATGTCAAGTTGAGATAGTTGACACTAAAAAAACAGAGAGAAATTAGAAGGGGCTAGGGATACAGCTTAGCGGCACAGCACCTGCCTAGCAAGTGCAAGGTCCTGAGTTCAATTCCAGGTACCAAAAAAAAAAAGTTGACATGGAAGAATCCAAAAACAAGGACAGGAAAACATGATGGAAAATAAGTCTGTGGTAAAACTGGTAAGATAAACTTCCAGAGGAACTGATAGAGGACTGAAATGGGACTAAAGTTTAGAAGAAAAGATGAGACAAGAATGAATTCAAGAGCTTTCATTTCTGGAGATTATTTAGCTCAAGGGTTTGTAGAGTTGCATTTATTTTTCCTAAAGTAGTAGGTCAGGAGCTGTAGTATTTGAAGGTTTCACAAAACGTTCACTAACTACTGTCTTGAAGGGTTGACAGGAGGATTGAATAAACTTCATGCATATTAAATGCTGAATATGTGTGTCAGCTCTCAATAATGATAAAATTCTATCCTTGGGAACTACTCACAGAAGGGGGTTAGAAAAAAATAAGTCAAATGAAAGAGAACAGGGGAATTGAAATAAGATGATTTAGTGCCAGAAAAGACGGGAAAGAAAGCATTCAAATAAGAAATAACTCCAAGAAGGGAGGAATGCCAACCTCAGTAGTGAGACGAGCATGTGGATGATCTTCCAGACAGCAGTTTCAGAAGTAAGAAGGGGAGTTACAATGCAGGGGCTCAGGGAGACGTAGAGTTAAACTTGAGAGCAGAGGATAAAGAAACTGTGCTATAACAGTGGGGTTTTTTTTTTGTTTGTTTCATTTTGCTTGTTTGTTTTTTGAGACAAGGCCTTACTATGTAGTTCAGGTTGGCCTTGAACTCCTGTGTAGCGCAGGCTAGCCTCAAACTTGTGGTAATCCTTCTGCATTAGCTTACAGGTGTGTGTCATCAAACCAACCACTGTAGAAGTTTGACAGTGAAATGAAGGAAGAAAATAGGAGAACATCTGATCAGGGTAGTTAAATAAAACTTTCTCTTCCCCTAAGGTAGGGTAGAATTATGCTAATATGTATAATCAATTGAACAAAATCACCTCTTTCAGCCCAGAAAGTGGACTTCCACTTTGTCCAAATAAAAACCACCCAGAGACTGAGCTCAGGTTCTGAAATTCAGATTACTAAACTAATGTGTTCATCAAAGCACTAAGTGGCTTGCTGATTCTACCATCTTCCCAAATCATATGACTTTTTCACACCTAGAGCCACTGTGACCTGAGTTCTTTCACCTGAAGACAGCCAGTAAAGTGGTCACTGCAGGTTTGTAAATCTACTTATAGTTTTGAAATTCAACCGTATGTACCTCTCTGTCACTTATTTATTGTTACTTTTCCATATGCTGGTGGCTCTACTAGTACTTGAAATGATCTTCCCCCAAATAATATACCTGATTTTCTCTTTTTCTTTCCATGTATTCTTTTCCCTACTCGACTTTTCTTTTATACCCTAAACATAGGGTTTTCTCTCTCCTATTGAACCCACTGAACTACATACCAAGCCATTTTAATTTTTTATCTTGAGACAGGGTCTTGCCATGTTGCTAAATTGTCCATACTTTTGATCCTCCTCCATCAGCCTTTCAAAGTGCTGATATTAACCTCTTCTCCATCCGTATCAAATGACAGGTAGCATTTCTCCATACTTTTGTTACAAGCAGTTATTCCCTATTCCCTCAAGATATACTCTAAGTCCTTAAAGTCTCAAGAAAGAACAATATGGAGTATAGTATTGCTCTTATTAAGATGTAAGTAGAAAAAAATCACCATATGTATACCCAAGGGAATTTCTTACCTTTTTGCTATTTCTTCTTGAGCCTTAGTTATTTCTGCCATCATTTCATTTTCTGAAGGCAATGTTTTTATCCCTAAAGAGAAAAATTAAACATTTAAGTGTAAAATTAACTGAGTAGAAACATTAATCCTATTAGCAGTAATTATGCTATGGAGAATTAAAAGAAGTACAGGATAATTTTCTATACTCAGATTGTAATTCACTTGATCACTTTTTCCTATCAACATCAAAATGTAATGATACAAAATAAACATCCCTATTCTAAAAATCAGAAACCTAAAATGTTCCAAAATACAAAAGTCTAAGATGTCACAGATAGAAAATTTCACCCCTGATCTCATCTCATGTAACAAGTCACAGTCAAAACACAAGTGCACTAAAACTATTGTAAAAATTACCTTCTGGTGCTATAAATGTAGATATATATGAAGAAATAAATTAATTTTACCTATCCCCAAGATATTTCATTATGTATATGCACCTATTCAAAATCTGAAAATAATCTTAAGTCCAAAGTTTCTGGTCCCATGCACTTCAATTGAGAAATAGTCATCTGTGCCAACATGTATAGCTTACTCTATTCTTCTTTGTCTTTGGAAAATGTTTTTATTCTATTCTGTCTTCCAATCAATACTCTCTTCCTCCCTTACATAATCTTTCAGATGGCAAGTGAAATGTGGACATGAACAAAGGATAAATGGCCTTAAAAGTACAGGAAAAATGAGGCACAATATAAGCAGAAGAAAGGGAGAGACAGGCATACCTACATTGGTATTATTAATAACAAAGAGATGGTTTTCTATTAATAACAAAAAGGTGTTTTTTGGTGTTTTGTTTTGTTTGTGGTACTAAGAATTGAACCTGGGGCCTTTGCACTGAGCTACATCATCAGTACTTTTTTATTTTTTATTTTTTTCTGTCTTTTTTTCAGACAAGGTCTTGCTATGCAGTTCAAGCTGGCCTTGAGCTCACTTTGTAATTCAGGGTACTCTCAAACTCACAAGGAACCTCCTGTCTCAGTCTCCTGAGTGCTGGGATTACAGACACGTGCCACCACACCGGGCATCAGCTCTTTTTCAAATTATCATTTAGAGATAGAGTCTTACTAAGTCATTAAGTTGCCCCATTAGGCTCATACTTGTCCTTCTGCTTCAGCCTACCAGAGTGCTGGAGTTACAGGCATATGCCATCACGCTTGGTCACAAAGAGGTTTTACACCACAGAGAGAAGGCAATAAAGATAAACTATCATACTGAGTGCTAAAGTCCTGTTGAAGATAAACTTTACCCTTTAAACTCTTACTTGATAAGAGTGGGAGTAGGCCAAGGGCCATATACCAGGTAATGACAGATAAATTTAAGCAATGACATACAGTTCCAATAGTAGGAATTTAATATCAAGGACACAACTAGACATTTAAACTGATATAAACAACTTTAGCTCAATTATCCTTATGACCAGATATGTAGGTACTATATTACACAGAAAATTTTAACCATGTCTGACCATAAAGTCTTCTGAAACATAGGATTTCAGAGTGGGAATATGCCTCCCTAATACAATCCTTATCTCTGAAATATTCATATCAAGTGGTTATCTCATTCTTCCTTAAACATCTCTGGTCATGAGGATCTCATTACTTTCTAAGGAGTCAGCAATATGTTTGGCCGCCCTATTCGCTGGAACATTATTCTTTGTATTGACCCCCAAATCAACTTCTATGCAACTTGTACCATTGGATCTCACTCTGTCTTCCAGAGTCAAAGGGTTTAATTTTTAACACTTGACAGGCCTTGAAACATGTGAAAACAACTGTCAAAACCCCATTAAATGTTCTCAATATCAAGCTATACAGCACACATTCCCTGTATAACATTCACATTCTTTGCCAGCTTGGTTACCCTTTACTGGGCATGCTCCAGTAACTCTCCTATATGCCCCTCTTAATATTCCAGACCCAGAAATTTAGCACTCAGAAATAGTTTCTTGTGTTTTACCATGTGTTGTTTTAATTTTAGCCATGGAATTATTATTTATATTTATAAATAAATGAAGAGACACAGAAATGCTTCAATTCAGAGTAATCACAAGAAACATATTCTTTTGTTTTGATGCTCAAGAAACACATTTTGAGATTGATTTCCAAATTACTTCTCATAGTTCAACCATAAGTTTTACTTTTATTAGCTAGAAATGTTATGAAAGAGGTCTGTTTCTTTGACTGGGAGAAGCAACTAATTAATAATAAAAAAAAGAAACAACAGAACTGCATAGCTTATATAGTCAAAGATATGTACAATATTCTACAGTTCAGTTCCCTCTTAATCCATTAACTATGTTCTTGCAGTGTTCCCTTGTTCTCTAGTACTAACTTTGTGTTAAGCCCAATAAAGGATTATGGGTACTACAGTATATCTGGCTCTTTAAAAGAAATTACATAAACATATTACTTAAGTAATGAATTTGTATAGTCACTTACCTTTAAATACTTGAGTAGCCCAGCGTCCCTGGAGCTCTGCAATGGGCATAATTGCTCCCAAAGGCTGTATCAAGCCTATGATTGCAAGAGTTGGCCTTTCCAGGTTAGGTGGGAAGACCTTTTTGTACAGTGATACTTTGTTTTTCACCACTTTGACAGAATCTTCCAGAAAAGGAAAGGAAAAACTATAGCCTGTGGCAAAGATAACAGCATCAATGTCATCTTCCCTGGAGCCATCCTCAAATATGGCAGCTGTCTCTGTGAATTCCTTCACATTTCCTTTCACCTTCACTAAGCCAGCCATTATACGATTTGGCAGGTCATCATTTACTGTTGGGTGCTGGCTCAGTGCTCTGTGAGTGATGATAAAGATGAGAAGGAAAAATGAGAATGACCAAAAGAAAGAGGGATGGAGGGCAGGGAGCGGGGAGAAATTAAGTAACATGTAAGTAAAATTAACATGTAAGTAAAATTCTGCTTGGTGGAGATGGTTAAACAGTATGCCCTCATCTATCCGTAAAATTTTGGAAAGGTCTACTTTATACCAGCTTGGCACAGATCAGGATCTCAGGGAGAGTTTGGATTTTAGGTGGCATACAAAGGGAGAATATTGGAGAAGTGGAAGCAGAAGAGTCTTATTTAAGGGAGTGAGAATGTGGTTTCTCAAGTAATGTTTCTCAAAGTAATGTTCTTTGGGATGATAAGGCCATATGCCAAACTATGTGATAAACTACATATGTAGAGCAATTTATAGTTTAAAAATGTCTTTTCTTTTTTGACACAGGATCTCATTATATAGTTCTGGTTGGCCTTGAACTCACTATTGTAGCCTATGCTAGCCTTGAACTTGAGTCAATTCTCCTGCCTTAGCCTACTGAGTGCTGGATTATAGGTATGCACCACCACACATGGTTTGCCTCAGACTTTTTGGGTTTCATACATGATCAACATGGAAGTGTATTCAATCACTCTTCCACTTTTGCCTTATAGTTTAGATATACCAGACTATGTTTAGGTCTGAGGGCATAATGATATATCCCAAACATATATCCCAGTCTTATTTGTTTGGATATCTGTTGTTATTCAACAAAATTTCAATTTAATTTGCCACCAGGAAAGATATATGCATGTTAAAGTAATTAGTTGAGAGGTCATTTGGGAAAACAGTATCCAGTTATTTGAAGGAGAAAAAAAATCTTTCTAATTGAGACACTTGGTAAGTACAATGATTTTACGCATGATCAAATTTAGCATCATTAATATGAGATAAATTGACATTATACAATTCCTGATGTGATCCACCAAAAATATACATCACTTATGTAGTGTATGTGTCCAAAATGTTGAACGTGAATATAATAAAGGCAAAAGCATCCATGTCAAAATTTAGAGACATTCTATTAAGCAATGCCTTTGATTCTTAAGAAAAAGGTTCATGTTAAAAGATAGAATGGAGAATTGTTATTTAAGATTAAGAGAGATTAAAAAGACATGATAACTAAGTGGCATAGTATGATTTATACCTTCCAGGATCCTGGATTTGGAAAAGAAAAAAATAAGCTACAAAGAATATTATTGGGCCAGCTGTAGAAATTTGAGAATGTCAATATTTTGTAACATTTTTTTCTCAGCATTAAATTTTCCAAGTGTGATCATTGGACTACAGAAAAAGGAGAATGCCCTTTTTCTTAGGTGATGTATACTGAAGTATTTAGGGTCATATGTCTTAGGGACTACAACTTTCTCTGAAAAGGTTTAGAAAAAGGTATGTCCTTAGGTAAGTATGAATGCTATTTATATGTGGACCTGTCTATATTCTCAAAAGGGGAGAGAGAAAAATCAAGTAGAGAAAATTGTTATAATAGATGAACTCTGATAAAAGGTATAAGGTTGTTCATTGTATTTGCTATTGTGCAATTTTTCCATTGATCTGAACATTTTCAGAAATAAAAAGTTGGACAAAATAATTCAACCTCAAGAAATGCTTTTATGATTGTTATGGTTTGTGTCTGAGTGTCCCCCCAAAGCCTCATGCAGTCATGGGGCAGGCTTTTAGAGTTTGACTGATTATGGGTGTGAGAGCTGCATCTGCCCTGGGGTGATAGTTTCATATGTAAGGAAGAGGAAGAGGCTGCTTGGGGCCATTCCTCCCTTTTAGTGCTTGTTGCTTTGACTGTGTTCTGCCGCCATGAGCTGTAGCCCTCTGCCATGTGCCACTCTGCCTTGTAACCTGCCAAGTATGGACTGAAACCTCCACAAACTGTAAGCGAAATAAACTTTTCCTTCCTTAATTTTGGGCACCAGGTATTTTGTCCCAGCAACAAGAGACACGTAACCAAGACAATGATCTACCTCCCTAGCAGTGTGAGGACTCCATCCTTTATAATCTCGGTGTATTCTATGTATCTTTATCATATTCTGTTGTCTTTCTTCTTGTTAGTATAGCTAAGGTTTTGGAATCTGCCGTTTACTATTTGTTGGGCAAATTAGTTTCGCTAAATCACAATATTTCGTCTATAAAATGGACATAAAAGTTGTACCAATATAGAGGGCTATTGTAAGGAGTAAATGGGATTTTGCATATAACTCCTCTAGCACTATGACTGTCTTATAGAATATTGTCAAAAAGGTAAGGTATTGTTATTACTGTGGTACTACTATAATGCCTCTTCTCACTGTATTTCATGCCCAGGATAAATGCCTGGCTTACAACAGGTGCCCAGTATTTATTGGATGAAAGAATGAAAGAATGAATGAGGCACTGCCCTCTACAACCATTTTGTTGTAGGTATCATATAAAAAAAACCTGATACCTGGGGGAATGAGAAAATGGTTAATGCCAAGGGGAACGATAGACTGAAAACATACAGATCAGGAGAGCTTGGTCTTCTGTGTCTGAGAAGGTAGAAATGTTTTGTTTTGTTTTCTGAGACAGGGTCTCACTATGTAATTCAGACTAACTTTGAAGTCACAATGTAGCCAGGCTGGCCTTGAACTCACAGCAATCCTCTTGCCTCAGTCTCCCTAATGCTGGGACTACAGGTGTGCACCACTACGCCCAGTGAAGGTAGAAATCTTAAGCCATTTAGATGCTATGAGTTTTCTTCTCTATAGGTAGAGGTAGTTGTACTATCAGACTGTGTTAACAGTTATTCTTCTGTTTTGAGCATTAGTAACCCCACTCTTGTCCTGAGAACATACCTGTGTTTAGGTTTCAGGCCAAACATCTCATGGTCAAATCTTTCATTCATTTGTTTTTCCAGGTATGCATTTGATAACGATTGGCCACACACTTTTGACAATAAATATGCAAACCGAGAAGAAAACAATACATCGAAGGGATATCCATGGCTTCCTACACGATTCAGGATCCAAGCCCCTCTTCTGGTACTGAGGAATACCTGAGGCATGGGAAACATTGTTTGCTTTTGTCACTTTGGCTTATAATAGTGCTTCAAAATCACCTCCACTTGCTTTAAGATTAAGCTCAAACTCATTAGTCTGGCTTTCTAATCCTGTACAAACTTTTTAAAGAAAATCACTCAAATTTTCCTTCCTGAATTTTAACCTTACAATTAAATTGGCATATTCATTGTGCAAAAATATATCATGCTGTGATACACCACTGCATTTCTGTTTAATGCCATTATGCCTGAACTGCCCTCTCTCCTCTCAAGTCTCTTGAGCCTATTAATTTTTAGAATCTATATAAAACCTGTCTTCTCCATGAGGATACCACTGACTATTCAGACTGATAATTTTCTTTCCATCCTCTGAACTTCTTTAGCACTTACCACTTATAGAACTCATTAAAAATCATGGAATGATAGGGGCTGGGGATTTAGCTCAGCGGCAAAAGCGCCTGCCTGGCAAGCGCAAGGTCGTGAGTTTGGTTCCCGGTACCGGAGAAAAACCAAAAACAAAAACAAAAAAACAAATAAACAAAAATCATGGAATGGTATAGTTGAAAGCAAGTGAACATTATTTAATCCAAAATCTTCCATCCTTTTACCATCAACATTGCATTTATTATCAAAAAACCCTCTTGTTAATCATTTATATTGATGTGAAACTTTCTGTGCTCTTAATTTCTGTCCCTGCAAATGTGTTTTCTCCAGAGTGGGAAGTATAAACTGCATATTGTTTAGTCTCCCTGGCATATCTCCATTACTTCCATTTACTGAGATTTGTGGCCTGTAAGTCACTGCGGTAGGTCCTTTATTCATTCTTATTTAACCAACACAACCTCTTAAGGAAGTCACTTTTAGCCCTATTTTATGGATGACGAGCATGGAGAAGATGAGTCATATACCTAATAAGGAGTACAGCTGAATTTTCAACTATGTCTCACTGACTCTAGAATCTTTGCTTAAGAAATATTATACTGACTATCTAATGGAAAAAATTAAAGTTAATAGTATTAGTGTAGGAAACTGAGTTGCTGGCTAAAGTTCATGCTCAGAACTGATTAAAATTTGCTATTCAGTTACTTGGCAAAAGTATCATTTTTTTCGACAATGTGCAACATTCTGGAGGTGGTTTCCCAGAGCTGTAAGGTGTATAAGCATATTGGTTTATGCTTGTGTCTAGCGGTCATGCACAAAGATGTCCCTCTACAGAGGGATAATCCTTTACTTCTCACATATTGCTTGCTGATGGCAACTTTAAGCCCTATCATAACTGTTTTTAATGTCACAGTTGAAAGAATATACATGGTCTTAGTAATCAAACAGGTTTATGTATAGGCCATATAACTTTTGATAAGTAAATGCTCAGAGTCTTAATGAATTCCCCATTTATAAAATAGTAATGATAATATATATACCACAAGACGGTTATAAGCAACGCTTTGTAAAAGATACGGACATGGTAAACTATGCTTTATGACTAAGCTAGGTCACATTTTTTACTTCAGTTTTCCATCTATACCTTGTTTTAAGTAAACAATATATTCCCAAATACGGTTTCATAAGAAAAAAGTGTAAGGGAAGTTTATGAAATTAACTTTGTGAGAAAGGGATATTTTCTCTTGATAAGAATTATACCAAAACTTTCTTGATACACTGAAATTTGTTAGGCCCATTTAAAAGTACTGGTTTACAAACAATCGCCCATAAATGTTTAAAATGTAAAGCAAAAAATTAGAACCCAGCAACTGTGTTTCTTCAGCTGGCATTAGTGGTGTTACGATGTGGTCCCTGCTATGCAGATAAGTTTTGCTGTGCATTTTCCAGGGCTTTCTCGCAGCCACAGCTGCCTCATTTCCACCTACTCTGAATGCTTTGCTCCTGGGAAAGCACAATTCCCCAGTGCAGCTAAGGCCCAGCCCCCTTAGATCTGACCATTTACAGGTCAATGATATTAGAGAAAGCTCTGGCATGGGTCTTGACTTCATATTTTTCACATTCTTCTGCTGTAACAGCCACACACACATTTTTACTCTTTCTTATTTACATAATTACTTTCTAATAAATATTTATGAAATTAATTAACAGAGTAACATATGAAATCATTTTTGTGCTTATAGATAGAAATAAATACTGAGAATAAGCGTTATTGGTACAAAACTGCTAGGGAAGTGTCATTTAACAAAATTGTGAGCTGGGTGTGGTGGCGCATGCCTGTAATCCCAGCACTCCAGAGGCTGAGGCAAGAGGATCGTTGTGAGTTTGAGACCAGCCTGGGCTACAAAGTGAGCTCAAGGCCAGCCTGAACTGCAGAGTGAGACCCTGTCTCAAAAAAAGACAAAAAAAAAGACAAAAAACAAAACAAAACAAGTTGTGGCTTTAAGCTTCTATTTAAAAAATAATAATTTGAAACATATTTGTTGAGAAGCACATCATAATTAAAGTTACTGATGAACAACCAGGCATTTAGCTTTTACCAATGAGGTTATTATTAAGTGAAGATACAACAAAATATAATGACATATCTTTTTTTCTAGGAGTTTACAATGAAGACACTTCCCAGCTCACAGTCTGTGATACAAGCCAGATGTGGTGGTCCACACCTATAATCCCAGCACTCAGGAGGCTGAGGCAGGAGGATCACCATGGGTTTGAAGCCAGCTTGGACTACACAGTGAGTTTAAGAACAGCCTGAACTACATAGTGAGACCTTGTCTCAAAAAAACTAAATGAATGAATGAATGAATGATCTATGATATGGAAACCAAACCCAGCAAACCAAAAAACCAAGGAGATACAAACTGCTTTAGCATTGGGATCATTCTGTGTTACCTAACTATATGCAAAGTTTGGTGTGAAATGCTTATATGTGTCAAAACATGGATCCTGTTTATACTGATAGCCACGTTGTCTTTGGAAAGATTAGAGAGCTTCTTTTTCAGTTTAGGAAGTGAAAAGGAAAATTCATCCATCATCTTATGAGTGAAAAGTTTTCAATGACCACAGTGTGCTTTCCTTTACATAAGAACATGCCACTTCTGTTGGCCAACAGAAGATCCATACTGAATGCTATGTCTTAACAATCTCTCCCAGCAATTACTTGCTTTTCATTAAAGCCAGAGGTTAACTAGGATCGTGAGTACTGTCTGCAGCCATGAGCTAATTCCTTAGCATGGGGCCAACTGAATGATAGAACTCTTACTGGTGCTTATGGCTCTTCCATTAGCAGTGCTTATGCTCGAAAATAATGAAACTATGCCTTGCATCACTGATGGGCTATGTGCAGGTCTTCACACTCTATTTTGGGCCTACTTCCTTCATGACATTAAAGCTAGAGTGAAGCAAAGTAAGTCACTTATTGATTCAAACCTGTTTGGCTGTGTGGCTAATCTCTACAGCCAGATCCCCTCCAGAATTCCCAATGCCAATTATAACAACTCTCTTTCCAGTGAATACATCTGGGTACTTATAGTCTCGACTATGGAAGTACTGTCCTTTGAATTTTTCAATTCCTGCAAGAGAAGAGAAAACAATTATTGGGTGATGGCTTATATGATGGATTTCATTTATCAAGTCACTTGCTTTCTGGTTTTACTTTTTGCACTTTAGAATTTAAGCATTCTCCACATGTTCTTCTTTTATTCATCTATTCTCTTCTTTCTTGGAACATTTTTGCTAATTTTTTTGCCTCATAGTCTCAGAATATGACTTTATGATTCCCTTATCATAAGTAGTTTTTGGATTTGCTGATTCATAACTATTCCTATTTCAATTAGGATATATATACATATATTTGCATATTCCCAAGTTTATATAGAATACACTTTTTGAAAAATGAAAATTTAAGCTAAAGACTGAAATTAAATTCTTCAGGCTTTCATTTCATCCCTAGAAACTCAGTATTTCTGCTTTTTCAATTGCTGAAAAATTCCTCATCTGAACTAATGCTCAGCAAGAACTCCACATTTTTTCCTTTGATCTTTAGGAAAATTAGAGTAACTATGACACTAAATACAGTCATATGTCATTTGAAGGGACTACATATATTCTAAGAAAGATGTCATAAATTGATTTTACTGATGTGCATACATTATAGATGTAATTATACAAAATTCGATGGCATCAAGAGATACAGTAAACATGACTGTTCTGGTGTAACATGGTATAGTGTTTTACAATAAATTAGACGGAGAATACTCTAAATTAATGATAAAAAGTATAGTAAGTAGACCAGTAACATAATTGCTTATTATCAGTTTTGCATACTGTACATAATTCTATGTGTTCTAGTTTTATGCACTGACAGTGCAGGTTTATATATACCAGCATCACCACAAACACTTGAGTACTGTTTCTTGTGCTCTGGTGCTACAACAGCAGTGACATCACTGGGCAGTGGGAATTTTTCAGGCACATTATAATCTTATGGAGCTCATTGTATATGCAGTCCACATTGACTAAAATGTGCCACGTCTGTAGATGAAGCTCTAACTTTCCTTTAATTTCTGAATGACATTGTCTCTATTTAAAAGTGGCAATAATACAAGTTATTCTGACATCTTTAGAGGAGCAAGCATAACTAGGACAAGCTTTCATCCCAAGGTAAGAATCACTCAGACAACAACCCTCTTATTCCTCAGGGACCAGGTCACAGGCATGGTTCAAGTGTCTTTTACACTGGTAGGTTTCTCACCAGGAAAGCTTTCCAAAGGTAGGTGAGCATTGGTGTGATGGCCGGTGCAAACCATGACTGCATCAAAAATATCCACCTTCATTTTCCCTTCATGCTCAGTGACCACCTCCCACTGGCCTGATGCAGAGAAATCAGGCTGCTTCTTCACACTGCACACAGTGGTCTGAAAGGAAGAGTGACAGTCACAGGGGACAGTAACTACAGCTCATACAGTAGGCATCTTCCCTGACGTGACTCCCTGCAGAACCTTAATCCACGGGCTAATACATAGGCACCATCGTATCACAGGGCTCATGCAGGGATATTTGGGTTTTAGACTCCACAAAGAACTGTTTTGCTTGGCAGCTGTGGTCTGAGTGAGAAAATGTCTATGAGGCAGACTAAGTAAAATAGAGTTGGAAAACTAATGTTCTCTCCTCTGCTTCTAGAAAAGTGCAAATTGCTAGATCTCTTGGACAATGTACAAAGGCACTGCAATACCTAAATGAGGCCTGGATTTCTTCTGTGCTTTGGTGACACTCTGTGCACTAAATGCCTTTTCTTCTCCTGACCTCAGATATAAACAAGCCCCTTGATTTCTTCTTACTACAAGTCCTGTTCTCACTGGTTAACCCTAAATATGTGGCTGAGATATAGGGCTCCTATTCCTGCTACAGTAAGAAAACATCAGTAGTTCTCATTTTATGTAAAGGAATTGCTCTTTGGCTTCCATAAATGCCAATTTCATAAGTAACTATAAAGAAAGAAGCTTGAGATGAGATAGTCAATGATATAAATTTTAGCTTTAAAAAAACAAATGATGAGTGTGGGTTACTCTACTCAGCTTAAAGAGACACCCAGAATATATTTCCATATGGCCTAACAGAGACATCACCTGTACCCTAGCCATCCTGTGCTACTTATAGTTCCTCTCAATTACGTGATTGTACATAGGCAGGTGCTTCTCTTTGGATCACCTTTTTGTTCCTTCTTTACTTAGCAGATGCCTATACACCTTTAAGGCTCAGCTTGGGCATTATCTCCTCCAAAAACCTTCACTGGAGCCTGATGCCTCATGTCCTCAGGGGTTAACCATTCCTCTGAGCTGAAATGTTTAGACCTCTTAGTGCTTACACTCTGCAACCCTACTTTTGTTAATTACATATATAATACATTTTCTTTTGTTTTTCTTTCTTCCTAACTAGGTTGTAAAGTTACTGATTTGGTGGGGGTGGTTCATCTTCCCTGCTTACTACAGTAATTAACTTTTTCAAGAAGTCTTGCTAAAACAAGTGAAGAGAAGCACCACTTGACAATAAATAACTGATTTGGAAGGTGTCATAGTCAAAAGGTAGAAGCTTGGAGCTTCTTTCCCCACTATCATAAGTCTTTGTTCTTTTATTGTCATGATTATAAATTATAGAAAAATCATGGAGACTTTAGAGCAGTGGTGATGAACCTATGGCACATGCATTATTGTGTTTTTATTTTAGAATAAAATTTTATTTTAGGTTTTAACCCTAAAACCTCAGTATTCAAGTTGAATTGTAGTGATGGTACTTTGTGATAAATAAGTGCATTTTGGGTTTCAATTTGGCATTCTGTCTCTAAAAGGTTTGCCATCACTGCTTTACAGCATGAAGAAATCAGGAGTGATCTAATGCAATCATTTTGTTTTTCAAACAAGGAAATTAAGACAGCTTGAGGTTGAGAAACCTATTAGTCTAAGCTCACAAGTTAGTTAGTGGTAGAATAAGGACTCAAATTCAGGATTTTGTTCCCTAATTCAGTATTCTTTCCTCTAGCAAAGTTAGCTTCTTTGCTTCCTCAATAACCTAATAATGACTCCACTGGGTTGTAGTGGTGCTTATATAACATAGTTTATTGGGAAGTGCTTAACAAAGTACAGCTAAGGAATAGTGGACAAGTGGAACTAGAAGGTTTTAAATTCCTATACATATCAGTTCCCTTCATCTATTTCATTACAGTCAAATAGTGTGAAATGAAGGCAATAGAAGCATAGTGGCTTTCTTTATCTACAGCCAAAGTATATAAAAGAGAGACCTTTCCCTGGATGTTTTTCAGGTACAGAGAAAACAGAGAGTAGAATCATTGTGTGTGTGTGTGTGTGTATGTGTGTGTGTGCATATTAAACTAGTCTTTACACTTATGCACTGGTAAATGAAGCCGCATTATTCATCTACCTGGTGAACAACTTCAAGGACAAAGCTATGTATAAAATTCCCTACCTTGAATTGGATATACTTTAGAAGGCCAAATTCTTTGGCATACATCCTGAAATATTCTAGGACATGTGAGTTGTGCATGAAATTAGGATAATGATCTGGGATCGGGTAGTCGCTGAAGCACATCATCTCCTTAGAAGTATTGATGATCACTGATTTGTAGATACTGGCCCTTCCTTCTTCAGGATTTTCCTGTAATATGTATAAAAAAAGCATTTATGGCAACCTGAGAATTATCTTTATAACTTACAAATAAACATAAACATTTGAAAAAGTATCCTAAAAGAAATGCTAATGTGAACAAAAAGCACCCACATACATACACATACACAACCTTCACACCTTCCAGTATTTGTACCCCTTGTAGTCCCTTCCCTTTGAATCTGAGTTATCTTTATTGCAACTGCAATGGCATTGAATGACTTCCAAGTCTAGGTCATATGTAGCCTTGCAGCTTCTCCCTAGATGTGTTAGAAGGCTCACTCTAGTGGAAGCTGTTAGCCATATGAGGTCCAACTACACTGAGAACACTATGAGAAGGCTTACCCTAAGCATATACTGTCTGGGCTAGAGGGATATGCAGCCAGCCCTCAGAATTCTAGTTATCCTGGCCAAAGTTCTAAACATATGAACAAAAAGGCCATATCAAATATGTAGTCTCAGCCATCGCATGATTTGAGTCACATGAGATTCCAAGTGAGGACTGCCGAGCTGAGGGGTAAGTCTCAAGACTCCCATAGACACTCTGACTTTTTTTTTATTTTTGACTTTTTTTTTTTTTTGTACTGGGAATCAAACTCAGGGCCTTGTGTTTGCCAGGCAGGTGCTTGTGCCACTGAGCTATATCCCCGGCCCCAGACACTGTGACATTGCTCTCCAGAAAACATTAACTTAAACTGTCTCCAGTGTAAATTAAATTTAGCTCAGTTTTACCAAAACTGAGTAATAATGATCAGTTAAATGAGTAAAAATGAAGTAAATGAGAACATATGCTAGTGAGACTATAAGTTGGTACAGTGTTTTCAGAGCAAAGCTGCAATGTATATAAAAACCCTTGAGACTTTTGTAGACTTAAAGAGAATTATTTGGCAAACAATAATTTTTGTTAAAGAATGTTAATGTCAGCATTATTCATAATATAAACAGGAAACAAGGCAAATACTCAATAGATTACACTGAAATTTGAGAACCATTACTCTGAGTCCTTACTACCCAGAGTCTGGTTTTCGGGCCAGCAGAAAAGATATTTCTAGAGAGATAGTTCGAAATGCAGAATCTCAGGTTCCAGCCCCAAACTTCCTGAATCAGAAGTCGCATTTTAGCAGAATCCTAAAGTGATTCAGATGCACATGAAAAGTAAGAAGCATTGCGTTAGATGATACTAATCCCAAATTCAGTGTTTTCCTCCCACAGTGAACTTCTTACTTCCGCAAAAACGTGGGGTTGATGTGGTGATCCCATAAAATGCAATATGACCGAAGCCTAGTATTCTATTACACAATGACACAAATGACAGGTTTTCAAATCCATTATAATTTTTAACCTTTGAGTATGGAAAGTCACCCTCACCAATCAGGACTTCACTCGTCCCTTTTCATTACAGAAATACAGGTTTTGGAATACTGGCTATTGCAAAACATTAAATGGCCACAAAAGAGTGTTTGTTCACACTTGGGCTTGTTTTCCTCTCGTGTTTATTGAAGAATTTAGTCTATCTAAATTGATCATTCACATTTCTGTGCCCCATAACACAAGTTCTCATTTTTTTCACTTTCAATAAGATTTTGAGTCTCTTCTCAAATCTCTTTTAAGTTATCCAACCTATTTCAAATTACTTTAACTTGTGATGGTGACTATATCACTGCCCTAATTAAAATGTTAGGTGTTGTTCTATTTCCTACAAATTTCCTGTTTCTCAGTTTAAGACTCAAAAACTTCCATCATGTCTCATATAATATCTTGTACGATACTCCATGTCTCCCCTGTTAGACTGCAAGCTCTTTGAATTGGCTTTGCCTAGAGTATTTAAATTAAAAATAGCATTCAGTAAATGTTTCATAGATATACTTTAAATTATATTGAGAAAAATATGCATAGAAAAAGAAGTACATTTCACATACTACCCAACAAATTAATAAAATACATCAAAATTTATTTCAAATGATTTGAATAAGATATATTTAGCACATCTCAAAACTTCCCTTTGGAAACTGCAATAGTTCTTAATTTTGGCTGCACACTGACTAAAGATTATTGTCTATCCGAGTTTGTATTGTCCCCAAAATGGAGCCACGATGCAAAAGGACTGTACTTAAGTTCAGGTAAAGAATGCCATAAACCCATTTTGAAGTAGTTGGCCAATGCTGTGTTAGTTGTTTTGAAATATGAAATACAATTCTGGCATCTCAGTATCATTCACTATATCAGAAAAGTAAGTGAAAAAATAAGCAAACACATGCCTATTTGGGGATTAATGAAGGCAGGTAGTTGATATACTGTGACATTGAGTAAGCGTAACTATGATTTAAATAGATAATTTTTAAAATTGTTACTAATAAGTTGCAGGGCTGGATGTGCATATTAAAATAATTCCACTTTAAATTTGAGCATACACAAAGATAAGAACACCTTGGTGCAGGTGCCCTCTGCCCTCATAAGACAAAGTACTTTAGACTATTCAATGGAGGTAAAAGTTCAAATCAAATAAGGTGATCATATTTTTACCTAAAGTGAATTGAGATTTATTTGTAATGGAAAAATTAAGATTGAAGATTGAAAATGGGAGACCCCTGGAAGGACTTGTAAGTAGATAATTCTAGTTCATTTATATTAATACAGATCTGGAACAAGCACTCCAATTTTCTAACCCTGGTACATTTCTTTTTTTCTTTTTCTTTTTTTTTTTTTGTCTTTTTGAGACAGAGTCTCCCTATGCAGTTCAGACTAGCCTTGAGCTCACTTTGTAGCCCAGGCTTACCTCAAACTTGCAAGGATCCTCTTGCCTCAGCCTCCTGTGATTTACATTTCTAATATTTGTTATTTTGTTAGCCCATTCATCTCTCTGTTCCTTTACATAAACAATAAAAAACAGAAAACAAGTGAAACCTGTGTTAAATTTTGTCATCAGCAGAAGAAAAGAGAAAGTTGCGTAAAACCCGGGTGGTGGCTGCTGAGGTCAACAGGCTGAGTTCAAGCAGATTTAGTTACCCTCAAGCTCACACTCAAGCTCAGCTCAAGCTCATCATAGTCCCCAAGGCGAGATAAAGGTCTCCTGCACCTGGTTAAGACAAAGGACCTGGTTGCAGGGAAGGCTTCCAGAATTAAGGGACCAGGAGATTTACCTGGTACCTCCAGAGCCCTCCGAGGTCAGCACTCCTTTCAAAGCAGACGGGCTCCAAGCCTTCTTCCAGGCAGCACTTGATGGAGGAGAGCCCGCTCGCTCCTCCTCCAATCACAGCAATCCTTTTCTTGGTCATGGTCTCCAGAGATCTTCACCTGGCTGGGTCTGGAGCACTTGTCCTAAAGAATGACAAAAGACAGAGAGCACACCAGTCACACCTTTCTAGAACATGTTAGCCACGGCACCTAAATGCTGTAAGCGCTGTGACAAGAAGCATTTCGGGATCCGAGGAAACCACATTCCAAGACGGGTGTCCAGTCCTGGAAGAGAACTGCAGCGAGTGGGAAGGGAGCGCGAGCGCCTGGAGACCCAGGGCCAAGAATGCTCTGCACTCTGCCCTAGTACCTGCTCTCACTGTCTTCTCAGGAACTCCCCAGGGATCCTTCTGCAGCGACCTGACTTTTGGCTGCTACCGCAAATACACAAACTCACAAACAACAGCAATAGCCAATGCGGAAGGCTTAGCCCGCCCCACCTCCCGACAGCCAATACCCGCCCACTTCTCCGCGCACAGGTTCTTTCCCTAAACCGAAAGAAAATGTGGGTTCAATCTGCTTGGCAAAAAAATAGTAATAATCAGCATCATCATCAATATCAGTATCAGCGCCTCTTCTCTGCACTTGTACCTACACTCTCTGGAGACAGAATGATCCCCCATCTCCTCCCTCTCCAACTCGGCATTCACTTTTAACTTCCTGCTTTTGCCTTAAAGCGATAAACTTCGGAGGAAGCAAAACTGTCAACTCCCAAGCCGGCGTTGTTGCAGCCTAAAGGGAGAAAACCAACCTTTCCAGGGATCTGTTCAAACAGGTGGCACCGCAGCGCCCTGTTTCACCTTCCTGCTCACTTCAAGACTGGACTTCGGCGCTGCGCTACTATCAAGGATTTACTTTAAAATCCCCATGCGTTGAACTGAGTGCTGGGAAGGAATGGATTATGCTTCCTACTTAGAGAAGTTTACAGTTTAGTGGAGGAGACCAATAGGTACACAGTAATTTCAGTAAAATAAAAGCACTTTTAAAAAGTGATTTCTCAGTCACATGAATGAGTGGTTCAAAACACAAAATATCCACTTACAAAATGGAACTTAAAATTCTCAAATATGAAATCATGTAGAACTGTTAATGAAACATATAGGAGTTCATGCTCTGGGCCCCTCCAGCCCAGATTTGACTGGTGTAAGGGATTGTAGGGGTCATGGGTTGTGATTGATGCTGTGGATTCTTGTTCACCTCCTGTCACTCTGAGTCAGGTTTAATCAAGGTGGTTCAAGGCCAACCAGTGCCATCCCTGGATTTGGACTTATTGGCTACATCCTAAAAGTATTCTTCAGGAGTCAATGGTTATCATTTCTTGAGGGTTTTCCTTGTGTGTTTCAAAAAGTTTAATGGGAATCAACCAGTTGTATTCTCTCAGCAACCGCAGGAGGCACATAATACTATGATTGCTCCCATTTTTGAAGAAAATAGAAGCACAAAGAAACTAAGTAAGCCACTGAAGATGTCACAGCAGATCCATGCAAAGACAAGGGTGCAAAGGAGGTAGTCTCACTTCAGGCCTGGGCTCTCACATGCTGTTCTTGCATAATGTTGCTTTTACTTCATATTTAAGTGCAAGTCCTTGTATCATTTCTCATCTCTCTATTACATTCTTCTTTTTGCCTCACTCCTGCCTTTGTACTTTTACATTTTTGTTGAGTAGCTCTTAGCTGAATTATAGCTTGCCTTATTTCAGACATTTAAAATTGTTTAAACATGGGTCTTTGGTTTGGGGAATCATTTTACTCCACCAGGAAGATTCCAGCTGGATAGATGGCCTAAATCATGTATGCCCAACCTGTGGCCCCCCCGTTTTGCTTTTTAGTTTGTTTTTCCCCTCTTGTAAAAAATGTTGTAACAAAAACACTATTAAAAGGAAGTTTTGTCAGGACGGCAGCGGCGGGGTCCCTGCCGCCACCTCTGCTATTGTAGGCAAGGTCTCCGCGTCACGGTTACGGTCGCCACCACAGGATCCATCGCTGTGCGTGAGCCAGGGCTGCCGTGGGCGACTCTTCAGCTCCCCAAGCGAGGCCTGCAAGAGCGCGAGTGGGGAGGAGCCGAGGAGAGGAAGAGGAGCAGGGGACCGGAGCGGCCTGAGGGAGGCTGGGGGGAGCCAGGAGGCGGAGCTGAGGCCAGAGATGCTGGCGGGGCGGCGCGGTGGTCAGAGCCGGCCCCGGGCCTGGGCGCTGCATCCTCGGGCATCCTCGGCAGAGCCCCCTCAGCCCTGGGGAGAGCGGCGAGCGTCACCAACCTGGCACTTCCTTAAGGTATGAAAATACATCTGGAAAAAAATTTAGAAGAAAGGCAAATGCTATTGCAGCAACAAAAATATGTCGAAATCGAGCCCGTAAATATTTTGTGTGATCAAACCGGAGAAAAATAGTTTTTGAAGAAAAATGGAAAGAGCATGAAGAAAGGGAACACCAAATTAGAGAACAAATACTTCAAAAAAGAAAACAGTTTGAAGAAGTTACTGAAAAATTCCAACGTGCCCATATTCCTCTTTCACAGCAGAGAGCAGCTTTTCACAAGCCACTTCCTCTTAGAAAGCGGCCTTCAAACAAATTCAAGAATCCCACTTGAAATCAGAAGGACACTTTTCCTTTTCCCATAGACCAACAATAAATTGGAGAGCTGTAGATTCCATTTTGACTTGAGTTTGGTGCATGGTGATAGACTTGGGTCTATTTTCAATCTTTGGCAGGTGGCAAGCCAATTTTTCCAGCACCATTTATGAAAGAGGCTATCGTTCCTCCAGGGAGTTTGTTTGGCCCCTTTAACAAAGATTAGGTGGCTGAGTGTGTTTGTGGTTATGTCTGTGTCCTTCAGTCTGTTCCATTGATCTTCCAGTCTGTTTTTTAGCCAGTATCATGTTGATTTTATAACAGTAGCTTTGTAGTATAATTTCAGGTCGGGGATTGTGATTCCACCTGACTTGTCCTTGTTGCCCGAGATTGCTTTTGCTATTCTGGGTCTCTTCTGGTTCCAGATGAATTTAAGGCATGTTTTCTCGAGATCTGTGAGGTATGCTAATGGTAGTTTAATGGGAATTGCATTGAATCTGTACAGCAGTTTTGGGAGTATGGCCATTTTCACAATGTTGGTTCTTATCCATGAGCAAGGAATATTTTTCCATTTACTGAAATCTTCTTTGATCTCTTTTTTCAGGGTACTGTAGTTTTCATTGAATAGATCTTTTACTTCTTTTGTTAGATTGATTCCTAAATATTTCAATTTCTTAGATGTTATTGTGAAAGGTATGGTTTCCTTAATTTCTCTCTCAGTCTGTTTGTTGTTTGTGTAAGGAATGTTACCGATTTTTGAGTGTTGACTTTGTATCCAGCTACACTGCAGAATTTGTTGATTAATTCGAGGAGTCTTCTTGTGGAGTTTTTGGGGTCTCTCATGTAAAGTATCATGTCATCTGCAAACAGTGATAGTTTAATTTCTTCCTTTCCTGTCCTTATTCCTTTTATTTCTCTCTCTTGTCTAATTGCTCTGGCTAATGGTTCCAGAACTATATTGAACAGGAGTGGTGACAGAGGACATCCTTGTCTTGTACCTGATTTTAAAGTAAAAGCTTTCAGTTGTTGTCCACTTGGTATGAAGTGGGCTGTTGGTTTGTCGTAGATGGCTTTGATCAGGTTGAGGTAAACACCATCTATTCCCATTTTCTGTAGAGTTTTCATCTTGAATGCATGTTTGACTTTATTGAAAGCTCTTTCTGCATCTATTGAGATGATCATATGGTTTTTGTCTTTGGCTCTATTGATCTGGTGTATAACATTAATTGATTTGTGAATATTGAACCATCCCTCCATTGCTGGAATGAATCCAACTTGGTCGTGGTGTATGATTTTCTTGATGATTTTCTGCATTCTATTTGCTAGTATTTTATTGAGTATCTTTGCATCTATATTCATGAAGGAGATTGGTCTGTAGTTCTCTTTCTTGGTTGTGTCTTTCTCTGGTTTGGGTATCAGTATAACTCCAGAAATGAGTTAGGGAGAATTGCTTCCTTTTCAATTTTATTGAAGAGTTTGAGGAGTGTTGGTATTAAATCTTCTCTGAATTTCTTGTAAAATTCTGCTGTGAATCCATCAGGGCCTGGGCTTTTCTTTGTTGGTAAGTTTTTAATCACATTTTCAATCTCATTAATTGATATTGGGTTGTTCAGAATTTTTATATCCTCTTGACTCAATCTTGATAATTCATACCTATCTAGGAATCTGTCCATTTCTTCTGAGTTTTCTATCCTATGGGAGAGTTTCAAAGTAGGTATTAATCATCTGAATTTCTGTAGACTATGTAGTAGTTTCATATTTTTCACCCCTTATTACATGAATTTGAGTTCTTTCCTTTCTTTTTTGATAAGGTTGACTAGGGGTTTATCAATTTTATTTATTCTTTGAGAGAAACAACTCTTTGATTCATCTATTTTGTGTAAGGTTTTCTTCATCTCAATTGCATTAATTTCTGCCTGGATCTTTATAATCTCCTCCCTTCTTTGGGCTTTGGGCTTGACTTGTTTTTCTTCTTCTAAAAGTTTGAGGTGCAGCATTAGGCTACTTATCTGTTCTGTTTCTGTTTTCCTTATGTATGAGTTCACTGCTATAAATTTCCCTCTGAGGACTGCTTTCATTGCAATCTGCAGATTCTGGTAAGTTGTATTTACATTTTCATTTGTTTTCAGGTATTTTTTAACTTCTTTCATTTCCTCTGTGATCTATTGGTTGTTCAGGAGGTTGTTGTTTAATTTCCAAGTGTTATGGAGTTTTTGGAGTTCCTTTTGTCATTAATTTCCAATTTCATTGCACTGTGGTGAGGTAATATGCATGGGATAATTTCAGTTCTTTTGCATTTGGGTAGGTATGCTGAATGGGCTAGAATGTGATCTATTTTAGAGAAAGTCCCATGTGCAGCTGAGAAAAATGTGTGTTCTGATGTTTTGGGGTGTAACACTCTGCATACACTTACTAAGGCCTTTTTTTCACAGATTTGGCTCAGATCTGTTATTTCTTTGCTGAATTTTTGTGCAGTTGACCTATCTCTTTGTATCAAAGGGGCATTGAGGTTCCCTATTACAATAGTGTTATTAGGTGTATGAGTTTTCATGTCTGTTAAGATTTGTCTTATATAGTTTGGTGCTCCAATATTTGGTGCATACATGTTTATGACTCCTATCTCATTCTTTTGCAGTTTTCCCCTAACAAATATGTTGTGACCTTCTTTATCTCCTTTGATTGTTTTTGGTTTGAAGTTTACATTGTCTGCAAACATAATAGCTACACCTGCTTTTTTCTGGGTTCCTGTTGCATGGAGGATTGTTTTCCATCTTTTGACTTTCAGTCTATGGATTTCTTTTTGAGCAAAATGTGTTTTCTGTATACAGCATATCATTGAATTTTGTTTCTTAATC